AATAGGGAGGAGGCTTGCAGTTCCCCGGAACGCAATTCAAGTTTATTGATTATATTTTTGCAATTTTGACAAATGTCATTTTTCACATTTTACAGTGCTTAGTGCTTTGTGTTCTTTCCATAACTTGATAACATATTCAGTTCAACATGCGGACAACATACCTGGGATATGTTGTCCGCCGTTTGACGTTGTTTTAAAATGTTTTTCAAGTTCTTCATTTTATGTTGTCTTAATTGTGTGTTGATTAAAACATATTAAAACTCTATGTTTTTGGACTAACATTAAAATGTCATAAATCACCCGAGAACCATGGGCGAAACGCACATGAGGCTTTTTGCTCTTCACATCCACAATGCCTTTTTGAAAGCATTTTCAACATTTTCAACGTGATAACAACATCTTCAACGTAACAACATGTTCAGTGTAACAACATCTTCAACGTATCAAAACCATCAACGTAACACCATCCTCAACGTAACAACACCTTCAACGTAAGAACATCTTCAACGTAACAACATGTTCAACACAACAACATCTTCAACGTATCAAAACCATCAACGTAACAACATCTTCAACGTAACAACATCTTCTGGTGACGCAATGCCATGAACGTTAACATCCCCCACCCCCCCACCTCGCCTTCTGTATGCCACAACGAAGATCAACGTAACAACATCTTCTGGTGACGCACTGCAATGAATGTTAACATCCCCTGTTAACATCCCCCCCACCCCACCAACATATCTGTATGCCACAGCGAAGATCAACGTAACAACATCTTCTGGTGACGCAATATTCAAGGAACGTTGACATCCCCCCACCCCCCTACCCCTCTGTATGCTTATGTCTATCAGAGAGAGACTCAAGGTTTCTCCATGCTCCGGGGAGCCTCAAGCCTCTCCCCTATATTATATATATAAAAATGTATATATATATATATAATTATATATGACCAGATACAGTAAGCAGGTTCAAATGACTAATCGGTCGGGTAGTTGGGTCTCCTTTTCAAGCAAAGTGAAATTGCAACAACTCATTCAACCGTGATGCTGGGCAAAGTTCATTGCAGCTGCCATTGCACATCTTGCCCCAACGGCCTCAGTCTCCTGTCCCCACTGCACAAACGGACCAAGGCGTGCAGAAATGCTACTTAACCACGTCCGAATGGCAGGAAACAGCGTGAAGTCGGTGGAGTTGAAGAACTACACTGAGTCCAGAAATCTCAAGAACATCGCCATGGAATTTCAAGAGCCCGCAAGACTGCTCACATCGCAGTACTTCCGCGCATTCACAGCACATCTTACCCCAACACCAAGCAAACCCAAACTCTCCAGAAAACTGACGCAAATCAACACCTTGGGCCCGTCGGAAACTGTATACAGAACCAGCAAAATGCAAACGATAATGGTTGATTCTATTGCTGTATTTGCTAGTTGTGTTGGTTGATCTTCGGACCCACTGTGGCACTGATTTGTTGATTGATTGCTACAGGCAAGAGGCACTGCCTAGCCCGAAGCGTCACTATGGCCCATGGGCAGCATACCAGCGACGTGAACAAAACTGGATAAAGACATGGTGGGTTGGGATTTTCTCAATCTAAATTTTAGTGTTTCACTCCAAAATTTGCAAAATTGTCTATACGTACTAGCGGTATGTATGTGAGTGTTCGCAAAACTTTTGCCGAGTCAAGGAATCTGAAGCGTGAATAGGCCACACATGGCCACAGTATACATGTGGGACCCATGTATGCTTTATCATTTGACACCCTCGTGGAGAGCTGCTTGCCGTTCCGTCCTTCTGGTGTTGAATATATCGACTCAACCAGCTGTTGGAAAATGTCGGCGGCAGAAATCAGGCACAGCTATCTACACACGTCTGGTTCATTTTGATGCATTATGTCACAGCAATTGAATGTAATTCATATTTATCTTGTCTTATTTTGATCTTTCGAAATGCTGAAATTGCCAAGCAACGCTCTTGCAAGACAACACAAGACTGGGACTCAGTGGGACAAAATGAGACATTGATTATATTGATTCTGGGTTTTCACGTCAGCAACAAACGCTTTCCAGCCTGTTCTTTTGCTGTACAACCTCCCCTCCTTAGGGGAGTCTGAGGATATTAACAAAGGGTTGCCTTGAGGGTTCAAATTTAGAGTCCGCAAATGCATGTTCATGACTTGCGGAGGAGCTTTTCAAAGAGCTTGATGAGCAGCATTGGCTCTCGGGCATCATCTTTGACACTAGCTACGAGAAGCCTTAGTCTTTTGGCCAAAGGAGATAAAGGAGGCCATTGGACGCTGAACATGACATGCTGTAGGACTGGACGGTCAGCCTATATAATCGTCATCACGACACATTTCATGACAGTGGAGGTCAAAAAGGACACTATTATATAGATCAGATCCGTTCTATATTTCAACTGGATGGTTCTACTGGAAACTGCTGCCTGGTGGGTACGTCAGTACGTATAAGTTTGACCTCCACTCCACTGATATCGAAGAAGTAGGCTCTTCAAACGAACAAAGCACCAGCCTCCGCAGCCGCCTCTGCAACCGGAGCAGGTTCTTTCACTGCAGGTTTCTCTGCCTGTGGTTTGCATCTCCCAAACTACAAGAGCACAGATGTTCCGAAATTGTTGTCAGCATGCTGTAAGCCAGGTAAACTAAATATCTAAGATGGCGCAAGGGGGTTTTCAAAGTCCACTTTCACCGTTTATGTCACCAACAGCAAAATGAAGGGTTTTCCCATGTCACCAGCGATTGCAGCGATGGATATGCATGGATCCAAAAACTGATCATCTACTGTGAAACAGGCTCAACTGGACTGTCCAATCCACTCAGACCCCAAAAGCCTCTGGCAGGTAAGAAGGTTTGGCAACGCCTACATCGAAACCATTGAACAAAATATTAACAAAGAATGTGTGGCGGGCATCGGCAACATGCCAGGAAATGTAGGGAAGATAGACCAGTGGTAACGTTTCCAAGATAGGACACTAGAGGAGAGTTGAATTGTTGTGATTCATGGATGGCAGAACGAATCCACTGCTGGATCGAAAGGCGGTTGGAGTGCCGGCCTATCTATCTGTCGATCTATCAGTCTTTGGATCTATCTGTCTATCTCTCCATCTTTCGATCCATCTGTCTATCTATCTATCTATCTATCTGTCTGTCTGTCTTTCTATCTATTCGTCTGTCTATCTCTCTGTCTAATTAATAGGGGTTGGGTGTGCTCAGGGGGGTAGTGCCAAGGTATTCACCACCTTTAGGTGGTTGCATTCCTAGGGTCCAAGGGTTTTAAGGCAGGGTTGAAAACCTTGGCCTAACATTTTAGCAATTTTGAGGTTCTTCGCTAACCTAGAGGTGAAAACCTTGATCCCAACATTTCAACATAAAACACCTTACTTTCTCATATGATGCTTAAAACCTTCAGCCCAAGATTCACAGGCCCAACTTAGCTTTTTTCCCGCTTGGCTACGCTCCCGGCCGATCCCCAGCGCAATGCCAAAATTCAAGTGTTGCCGCTAACATCGCTAACCTAAAAATTGCATCCGAATCGTCCTGACCATTTTGATCAGTTGGGCTTTCATTTCGCATCATCTGAAAATAATAGGGAACATCATGGGGGACATGATAGGGAAAGATTAGGGGAAACACTAGGGATAGAATAAGAAAATAATCGGAACATCAAAGGGATAATCGGGAAGCAAGCAGGAACTTATTGGGAAATACTAGGGAACGTAATGGGGAAATATTAAGGGAAACAATAAGGACATAATAGATATAATAGGGAAATAAAAGCCAACATAGTGTGGAATATAATAGGGAAGTGGGTCAATAGTGGTCCTGCAATTTTGGATTTGTCGGACTGCTTCCGAAAGTGGAAATTATAGGAAATGGCACAGACTGTAAGCCCCAATCCAAGATGCCGCAGTGAAACTGGTTGCAGAAACTTAATTACGCCCCGGCTCTTAGCGCCCTAGAAGCCACCACCTCAGAAACGGTTCCCGGCGTCAGCAAAGGAATCTCGTGCACGGTCTTCAAAAACTCCTGCCCAGCAGCGGCATTCACAATTAAACGCGTTCAAGGTAAAAACTTTGAACCCGACATGTGTATGTAGTTGATTGTAGTTGTGATGACCCACACACACAGGTACGAAATAGGTTCTGCATCCAACAATAACAGGCTGACATGTAAACCAGAAGCCCTAGGTTTTCACCCCCTGATTCCCCGAAGAAAAAATTCACTTGACAATGCTAAGGTTCTACAGTCAAACCAACAAGTTGGCAAAACAAGAAGCAGCAAAATGTACAAAATGTTGCCCCTTTGTGAACTTAGGCACCCCCCTGACGCGATTCATCCGCACAAAGTCTTCGTGCACCGCCTTGCCGTACAATTCTCTATTGCGGATGTTCTCAAACTTCTTGGCAAAGTACGATGGTGCACGATCCAAAATCTCCGACCATTTCAGCCCAACATATGTGTGTCCCTTGATGGGGTCACGAAGGCGCACGCGATAATCCTCCGTGAGAATGCTCCCAGCTTCACGGTGACGCTCCAGGAGCTTTTGAAGCTCCTGCCGCACCAACGCGTCTCCACGCCGGTACCTGTCAAAGTTCGACGGCAAAGCAGGGATCTCCTTCTTGAGCCCACCTTTCTGCACTGATTTCTCCGGTTCAGGTGCTGAGGCCGTGATCTTCCTTAGTACAAGCTAAAATGATAGGCTATATAGGCTCGAGGATTTCATCCCATCCTATGGTGAAATAACATTTGCACGTCAAAAATGAAACCATTTCCTCAAGAAGTTCAAGAAGAAATGTCAATATTGTCAATGCAGTTGCTGCTGTCGCCTGGTAATCTGAGCCCTAGGTTTTTACCCCCTTGTGATAGGACCATTCTAAACCCCACCCCAGAAAACTAAAGCATACCCCTGACAGGAACATGACCCTAGACCCTAGGATTTAACCCCCAAACACTGCCACACACAGCCTCAAACTCCAGCTCAAGCAGCTTCATCGTGATCTTGGACGACTTTCCAGATGAATTCGCTGCAGCTTCCGCTTCTGAGGCATCCGTGGTCTTCTTGACCTTCTTGGATGGAGCGCCTGCTGCACAAGCATCATTGCCCTCATCATCATCATCATCATCATCATCATCGATGAGAACCACTGTAGGCTTTCCATTGGATCCATTGCTGTCTTTGGTTGATGCCTTCCGTTTTCTGATTCGAACATCATTGCCAACATTCCAGACTGTCCATTTCTTCACAGCATCGACCACCTCCATTTCCTTTGCGCCCAGAACAATGCGGATGCCATCAATGCCCTTCTTGGTGCCCCCGTCCTTGACTCTCAATGCCATCCCCAGCCTGTAGATGGGGCAAACCACAGAGTTGCTGTCCGCTCCCGCAGTGTAGGTGCCATCCTGAGAATTGTGCGCGTGTGTCAGGTCGCACACACGGAAAGCCTTTGCTGCATCTGCTGGGATGGGCAATGCGGTGGGTTTGGCCCCCTGCTTGGCCGTGGATCGCCACACGGTCAGGACAAGACCCAGCTTCCATTCTTGGATCCCAATCGGAGCATACAACACCACCATTCCAGCGGCCAAGTCACCAGTCTCATTGTCCACTCCCACTGTCTTCCGCATAGAGGCTGCCAAAGCTCTCCATGCGGCAGCTCTTGATGTTCTTTTCGCTGGGTGTCCACAGATGGACCTGATGGCTGCGCACTCCTTCTCACTTGCCTGATACCAGTTGAGCTTTTTTCCCTGATGGCCTGTTCGGAATTTCCGCGGCTGTGCCAGGCAGTATTGGTCTGAGGATTCCCTGAGGTTTCGGAGGCATTCCCAAATAAACGGTGTGAGGCCGCTCACCCGGACCAACTCAGCGTCTCCCAAGCGAGCCTTCCTGAACACATCTGACAAGGTCAGGATGTCAGATGACATCTGATCATCCATGCCATCCTTCTTCGGTTCAGGCTTGGTCACAGCTTTCCAATCCTCTGCATCCAGGTCCATCAACTCCTGAGAGGGAAGGCAAGTGCCGCTGCCGAGGCGCTGAGCTCTTGCATCGTCATGGTCATTGAGATCCGCTTCCCCGCGTTCGATGTCATCCCACTCAACTTTGTCTGCTTTTTCTCTGGCTTGGAGCTGCGTGAGCAAATCGAAGCACTGGGCATCGGCCCCTGCCAACTCCACTTGTGGATCTTGTGGATCTGATGGCCACTCCTCTGAATGTTCTGCAAAATCTCCCAACTCCTCGTCTACCTCATCTCCAGGATTTGGAGCAGATTCACCAGGCTCCACAGGCTGAAAAGCTGGGCACACACCGCAATGTGCCACATACTTGGCCAGCAATGTCTGCGTTGTGTGCCTCAGCTAGCAAAGGGGCCTGGCCACAAAGTTTTCACCCTGTACCAAAGTTTTCACCCTGTACCCAAAACATACAACATAGCCACAGTCAATGATCCTGAAATATCTGAAATGGTCTAGACAAAATGGACAATCTGGGGCCACAGGTTTTAAGCCATTTTGATAATTTTAATCATGTTGGAATCTTTGTGAAACGAATCCATATCGGGAAGGGATCAATGAGGACCCTGCGCCTAAGTTTTCAGCCTGTATGCGAGAGGTCTATGTATTCTACATACTCCTCCAATGGTCATGATGGCGTTGCGGACGTCAGGTCTTCAGGTTTTAAGCCAGCCTATGTCTATGCCAACCCAGTCAGTCCACAATTGACCAGGGATGGAAACAACACCAAAATAAGTTTAGGACAAGAAGCTCGGTACACACAGCCATGAGCCGCAAAGCGTTGCTCAAGGAACGCTCAGCAATCTCGATGTACTCATCGTCCGTCACGGCCTTGTGCCGCTTGTCGGGAATTTCTGGGCTCAATGTGAATGGTGTCCTTTTCTGCTTCGTGAGGGTCTGCCAAGCTCGCTTCGCAGCACCATGTGCGAAATCGCGGCACTTGAATTGGCTGGAAACAAACTGGCTCCTGATGTGTCCAAAGTGCTGCTCAATGCTGAGTTCCGTGGATCGCCACGGGCACCAAACCTCATCCTCCCCCAACGATGTACACGCGATCGCGACAGAGCCGCACAATTCTTGGAGGTTTGATTGTGTGACTTTGGCAAGCCACAAGCGGCTCTTAGGCACCTTTCGGTCACGGCTCCTCTCCTCTGCCACCAGCTCGCAGAGGTCCAGGAGCACAAAAGAGCTGAGGCAGTTCTCCAATCGCTGACTTGGCGACAGCGTCCTGTGAAAAACTGATGTCGTTGCCAGTGAAGTGATCAGGTTGAACAACAAGGCTCCACAAAGCGCCCAGGGGACAATCTTGTTGTTGAGCTCAGTTGTGAGGAAATGACCTCACCATGATTGTTGGAACTCAGCTCTCCAGCCACATCATCAAATCATTAAAGCAATTTTGGACGAACCAAATCAAATAAGGTATAACACCATGTCATGCATCCAAATGGATAATGGATCCCGAACCCCGGTCCCAGGTTTTCAACCACATCGCATTACATCATTTACATCCCCCAAAAAATTGTTTGAAGGGGCGATTCGCTGCCAGATCTGCCAATATGTGTTTTCTGAACACCAGAGTCCAAGGTTTTCAACCTACAACCATCAAAAACATAGAACAAACTTTGTCCAGGCACTATTCAAGAGGGTACAGGCCTCCAGATCCGATTGCCCATCATACCCAACGAAAGCCGACGGAGGCATTTGCAGGTCTAAGCATGCTGCCAGGTCGACAAAGTACCGGCCGACATACAAGGTGTGGCCTGGGCTCCTCAAAGCGCAAGCAATGTTCTTGACTAAATGCGCAGGCCCATTCTGCAAGTACCTCGCATCGGCCAAGCATGTACTTACTCAGGGAACCCACTGTAATCATGAGTAATCGTGGTAGGCATATCAAACGACTCCGTGGATGCTGCCTATCGAATCATAAACCTTGGGCCCAGGAATCTACCCTGGAGCACACAAGCATTGCACAAGCACAGAGAACTGCATACCATGCAAAACTGACTACATGAATCTTGGGGGCATTAAGGATCTTGAGGCCAGGTTTTAACCCTGGAGGATCTGGCTGGCGAAGCCTTGAACTATGGTTTTTCACCCCTGCAATTCTCAATCATCTCAATCCCAAGCTTTTCAATCCTGTCATGTCCGATTCTTTCACTGTGCAAAACAATGTAAACAATGAAAAAGGAGTAGGAAAAATCTGCTGGCCAATCTGGCAAGAAACAACACTTCTCCATTCAAGCATGGCTTGGAGAACGGCCACCTTGGAAGGCTTGATCCTGGAAAGGCGACATATGTGAGATCACCCCAGAAGGGCAGTGCCCGAAGCTCTTCACGACTGAGATTGTGCGGCAGCCCCAACATGAAACGCTTCAGCAGACCGTGTGTTGCATGGTTGTCAAACGTGATGCACTTCACATTGAATCCAGCGTGAAGCATGACACGGCCAACCAAATGAAGCATGTCGTTGGCTTTGCAGTTGTAGGAAGTTGGAACGGTTGCAACACTCAGCCTTGGCTTGCCTTTGATGAGTGGGTCAAAGTAAAGGAATTCGAGAATCTCGTTGGCGTAATCCAGTGAAGCAGCATCCCACGTTTCCACGTTCTTGCCTGAGTTGCCTGATTTGTCTGGCTGATCTGGCTGGTCTGGCTGGTCTGGCTGGTCTGGTTGATCTGGCTGGGCATGCTGGACTACCAACATCGAAGGTTCATACTCATCCGCATCAACATCGATCATGTTCTCTGATCTCTCCACAGACCCAACCCTGCATGATTCTCTCAGGTCCTTCGCAGACATGAATGGGAGGAATCCCGTATTCTGCTGTTCAACTTCATCACTTGAAGCCCACCACACCTTGGGATGGAAGGCGGTACCTATGTACCCGCGACCTTGACGTAGCTCTACCACGTCTACGCCAGTCAAGGCGTATGTTTTGTCCAGCGCAAGTGTGAACCTGCGCCTTGAGGTCCTTGAGTGCCTCTGCAAGGTGGAGGAGGCAGACGCCTGGGAGCGAGAACGACCAAAGCTCAAGTGTTGCAGCAACAACATCACATAACATCACATACATCAAATGTCACGAACTTTGCGAATAGGGTGCCATGTCATGAAAAATATGAACATTATAGATATTAGAGAGTAATGAAAATATTATAGTATGGTATCAATTGATGTCTGCTGGAAACTTGCAAAAGCCATGTGAGCCACGTCACTAAAAAATGATGGCTGATTCAACTGAATCTCGGTCCCAGATATTTACCCTGGAAGACCAAAAAACTGGGCAAGCTCAGCCAAAACATGCCATGCAAAACTGGCTGTGTAAATCTTGTGGACCTTGGGGCCAGGTATTAACCCTACGGATACTGAAAGACGCCCCCGAAAAATATCTGGATCTGCGTGGAATTCTCCAGCTAGCAATTGCCAAAAACTCCAACCTGAATGTTAGGCCCAAGTTTTTCACCCCCTGCCTGCTCTTCAGCTGCTGGACCCTTGCCATCTGCCTGGGCACGGGGCAATTGCAACAAAGGTCACAAACAGACACCGCCAACAAGATTGCACCACCTTAAAAATCAAACTATCATACAAACAACCGGAAGTTAGCTTCTTGAATTTACTGCAAGTATGGATCCTCCATTGTTTCCCCAAAACAAAGTTGTTTCACAGTGGGACCACCAAAACCTAAACAATCGGACCTGATGAAAAAATTTCAAGTTCAGCCACTCGCTGAGTAAGTATAGTAAGTGATCTATTTGTTCGTCAGCGCTATCATCGCCATCCCAAACAATGTTCAAACTGATTGGGACAACTAACCCCCCTTGACCAAACAACCAAACCATCCCAAACATTCAACTACACCTTGGTCTTCTGATCCACTGGCACCGCCGCTGCATCCACCTTGAGAAGGCATCTGAGTACATCGGTGATGGGATCAGAGGAAATGGATGGCTATGATGTGTATGATGTGTTCACTCAATTATACATAAACGTTGGGACCAGGTATTTACCTTAGGCCCTAGGGGATCTAGAAAGGATTTTGGTCATGCCGTTGAGAGACATCAGTGGATGCAAAACTGAGGACATCAGTGGACTTCAAGGGGTCCCCCCTTTGTGGACTCAAAAAAGATTCAAAAACAACAATTTTAAATAAGGGTTTTAGTAAGGAAAAAATGCCTAACATCTTGGTGGATTTTTAATGTTTGTGGTTGGTCTGGTTGACCCTAGTCACCTCCCACAGGATCCCCACAAATTCAAGACCTTGGGACGAGGTATTTACCCTAATTACCCTAGAGGGCTTTCTCAGGCCCAAGTTTTTCACCCCCTGCCTGCTCTTCAGCTGCTGGACCCTTGCCATCTGCCTGGGCACGGGGCAATTGCAACAAAGGTCACAAACAGACACCGCCAACAAGATTGCACCACCTTAAAAATCAAACTATCATACAAACAACCGGAAGTTAGCTTCTTGAATTTACTGCAAGTATGGATCCTCCATTGTTTCCCCAAAACAAAGTTGTTTCACAGTGGGACCACCAAAACCTAAACAATCGGACCTGATGAAAAAAATTTCAAGTTCAGCCACTCGCTGAGTAAGTATAGTAAGTGATCTATTTGTTCGTCAGCGCTATCATCGCCATCCCAAACAATGTTCAAACTGATTGGGACAACTAACCCCCCTTGACCAAACAACCAAACCATCCCAAACATCCCAAACATTCAACTACACCTTGGTCTTCTGATCCACTGGCACCGCCGCTGCATCCACCTTGAGAAGGCATCTGAGTACATCGGTGATGGGATCAGAGGAAATGGATGGCTATGATGTGTATGATGTTTTCACTCAATTATACATAAACCTTGGGACCAGGTATTTACTCTAGGGGATCTAGAAGGGATTTTCGTCATTCCACCGGATTGAGAGACATTAGTGGATGCAAACTGAGGGCATCAGTGGACTTCAAGGGGTCCCCCCCTTTGTGGACTCAAAAAAGATTCAAAAACAACAATTTTCAATAAGGGTTTTAGTAAGGAAAAAAAACGCCTAACATCTTGGTGGATTTTTAATGTGTGTGGTTGGTCTGGTTGACCCTAGTCACCTCCAGGATCCCCACAAATCCAAGACCTTGGGACGAGGTATTTACCCTAATTACCCTAGAGGGCTTTCTCAGGCCCAAGTTTTTCACCACCTGCCTGCTCTTGAGCTGCTGGATCCTTTCCATCTGCCTGGGCACGGGGCAATTGCAACAAAGGTCACAAACAGACACCGCCAACAAGATTGCACCACCTTAAAAATCAAACTATCATACAAACAACCGGACGTTAGCTTCTTGAATTTACTGCAAGTATGGATCCTCCATTGTTTTCCCAAAACAAAGTTGTTTCACAGTGGGACCACCAAAACCTAAACAATCGGACCTGAGGAAAAAGTTTCAAGTTCAGCCACTCGCTGAGTAAGTATAGTAAGTGATCTATTTGTTCGTCAGCGCTATCATCGCCATCCCAAACAGTGTTCAAACTTATTGGGACAACTAACCCCCCTGACCAAACAACCAAACCATCCCAAACATCCCAAACATTCAACTACACCTTGGTCTTCTGATCCACTGGCACCGCCGCTGCATCCACCTTGAGAAGGCATCTGAGTTCATCGGTGATGGGATCAGAGGAAATGGATGGCTATGATGTGTATGATGTTTTCACTCAATTATACATAAACCTTGGGACCAGGTATTTACCCTAGGGGATCTAGAAGGGATTTTCGTCATTCCACCGGATTGAGAGACATTAGTGGATGCAAAACTGAGGACATCAGTGGACTTCAAGGGGTCCCCCCCTTTGTGGACTCAAAAAAGATTCAAAAACAACAATTTTCAATAAGGGTTTTAGTAAGGAAAAAACGCCTAACATCTTGGTGGAATTTTAATGTTTGTGGTTGGTCTGGTTGACCCTAGTCACCTCCAGGATCCCCACAAATCCAAGACCTTGGGACGGGGTATTTACCCTAATTACCCTAGAGGGCTTTCTCAGGCCCAAGTTTTTCACCCCCTGCCTGCTCTTCAGCTGCTGGACCCTTGCCATCTGCCTGGGCACGGGGCAATTGCAACAAAGGTCACAAACAGACACCGCCAACAAGATTGCACCACCTTAAAAATCAAACTATCATACAAACAACCGGAAGTTAGCTTCTTGAATTTACTGCAAGTATGGATCCTCCATTGTTTCCCCAAAACAAAATTGTTTCACAGTTGGCAAAACCTAAACAATCGGACCTGAGGAAAAAAGTTTCAAGTTCAGCCACTCGCTGAGTAAGTATAGTAAGTGATCTATTTGTTCGTCAGCGCTATCATCGCCATCCCAAACAATGTTCAAACTGATTGGGACAACTAACCCCCCTGACCAAACAACCAAACCATCCCAAACATCCCAAACATTCAACTACACCTTGGTCTTCTGATCCACTGGCACCGCCGCTGCATCCACCTTGAGAAGGCATCTGAGTTATCCGGTGATGGGATCAGAGGAAATGGATGGCTATGATGTGTATGATGTTTTCACTCAATTATACGGAAACCTTGGGACCAGGTATTTACCCTAGGGGATCTAGAAGGGATTTTCGTCATTCCACCGGATTGAGAGACATTAGTGGCTGCAAAACTGAGGACATCAGTGGACTTCAAGGGGTCCCCCCTTTGTGGACTCAAAAAAGATTCAAAAACAACAATTTTAAATAAGGGTTTTAGTAAGGGAAAAAAACGCCTAACATCTTGGTGGATTTTTAATGTTTGTGGTTGGTCTGGTTGACCCTAGTCACCTCCCACAGGATCCCCACAAATCCAAGACCTTGGGACGAGGTATTTACCCTAATTACCCTAGAGGGCTTTCTCAGGCCCAAGTTTTTCACCCCCTGCCTGCTCTTGAGCTGCTGGACCCTTGCCATCTGCCTGGGCACGGGGCAACTGCAACAAAGGTCACAAACAGACACCGCCAACAAGATTGCACCACCTCAAAAATCAAACTATCATACAAACAACCGGAAGTTAGCTTCTTGAATTTACTGCAAGTATGGATCCTCCATTGTTTCCCCAAAACAAAGTTGTTTCACAGTGGGACCACCAAAACCTAAACAATCAGACCTGATGAAAAAAGTTTCAAGTTCAGCCACTCGCTGAGTAAGTATAGTAAGTGATCTATGTGTTCGTCAGCGCCATCATCGCCATCCCAAACAATGTTCAAACTGATTGGGACAACTAACCCCCCTTGACCAAACAACCAAACCATCCCAAACATCCCAAACATTCAACTACACCTTGGTCTTCTGATCCACTGGCACCGCCGCTGCATCCACCTTGAGAAGGCATCTGAGTACATCGGTGATGGGATCAGAGGAAATGGATGGCTATGATGTGTATGATGTGTTCACTCAATTATACATAAACCTTGGGACCAGGTATTTACCTTAGGCCCTAGGGGATCTAGAAAGGATTTTGGTCATTCCGTTGAGAGACATCAGTGGCTGCAAAACTGAGGACATCAGTGGACTTCAAGGGGTCCCCCCTTTGTGGACCCAAAAAAGATTCAAAAACAACAATTTTAAATAAGGGTTTTAGTAAGGAAAAAAAACGCCTAACATCTTGGTGGAATTTTAATGTTTGTGGTTGGTCTGGTTGACCCTAGTCACCTCCCACAGGATCCCCACAAATCCAAGACCTTGGGACGAGGTATTTACCCTAATTACCCTAGAGGGCTTTCTCAGGCCCAAGTTTTTCACCCCCTGCCTGCTCTTGAGCTGCTGGACCCTTGCCATCTGCCTGGGCACGGGGCAACTGCAACAAAGGTCACAAACAGACACCGCCAACAAGATTGCACCACCTCAAAAATCAAACTATCATACAAACAACCGGAAGTTAGCTTCTTGAATTTACTGCAAGTATGGATCCTCCATTGTTTCCCCAAAACAAAGTTGTTTCACAGTGGGACCACCAAAACCTAAACAATCGGACCTGATGAAAAAAGTTTCAAGTTCAGCCACTCGCTGAGTAAGTATAGTAAGTGATCTATGTGTTCGTCAGCGCTATCATCGCCATCCCAAACAATGTTCAAACTGATTGGGACAACTAACCCCCCTGACCAAACAACCAAACCATCCCAAACATCCCAAACATTCAACTACACCTTGGTCTTCTGATCCACTGGCACCGCCGCTGCATCCACCTTGAGAAGGCATCTGAGTACATCGGTGATGGGATCAGAGGAAATGGATGGCTATGATGTGTATGATGTGTTCACTCAATTATACGGAAACCTTGGGACCAGGTATTTACCCTAGGGGATCTAGAAGGGATTTTCGTCATTCCACCGGATTGAGAGACATTAGTGGATGCAAACTGAGGGCATCAGTGGACTTCAAGGGGTCCCCCCCTTTGTGGATGAAAAAAAGATTCAAAAACAACAAACACCAATCCTCATCAATTGAAAACATTGCATTGTCTCGAAGAACATTACTCCCCAACATGATTCCACAGAAGTGCCAACATCCCCCAATACTTTGACCATGAGATCTTAGGCTCAAGGTTTTCAACCCGATGGGCCCCACGGCCTTCTTGGAGGGCAACGCCACAATGGATTCGATCAGCTTGCTGTTCCTTTGGAGAATGATAGGATCGACCACAGCCAGAAAGGGCTCCGGCAAGTTCAGTGCGTGAAGGTTGCTGAGGGGCAACCTTGGGATCGTGAATCCAAGCCCAAATAACTGCAACATCTGCATGTTGTTCCCTGCAAGGGCTACCATGCATCCAGCTTCAGACATAAGGCTGAGCTCCAACTCAGATACTTTGAGGCCTTTCATATTGTGAACGCCATGTCTTTGGCGTTGGGCCATTTCTAGGCACGCCACCAGGATACCCTGAATCATTGGGTGTTCGTTCAGACACCCGGATGCAACTTGGCAAGCCATGCGCAAGTTGAGGGTGTCCATGTCTGCAAAGCTTCTGTCCCTGATTTTGTCAGCCACCTCCCTGGCTCCTCTTACCACTTGGGCATTCCAAGACGGTACGTGAATTTGTAGGGACGGCATGACAAAGCCCAGAACAAACTCCTGATAGGCCCGGGTCCATTGTTTCTTGGGGATCGAAAGAAACTGAGTTGAAACCAAGCGCTGCAAGACCACTGTGTCAAGGGTGCAAATGCTCTCCAACTGCTCGGCGAACACTCCCTTGGCAATCGGGCTGGAGCGAACACTTGCAATAATGTCTTGGACTCTGTCAGGATCAAAGAGCCGGGCCAACAATAGTCCTGAGGGCCAGCAAAACAACCATGTGCTGTATTTGCGTGACTTTCTGAAAATATTTAAAATGCTGCTTGTCAAGACTTTGAACCCTTGCAAACTTCACACCGAGCCGGAACAGCTGTCCAAGTTACACCTGTGGTTGAATACCTGTGCTCAAGGTTTTTTGACCCAAAAATGAAATCCTTTGCTTAATGTTTATGGGGCATCGGCATATGGCCCACCTGTGGGCTAAAGCCAGGCTCTCCAGCCATTGGTTTTTACCCTCTGTGCCGTATCCTCTATGTTCAATTCCTTTGATGTAGGCCCCTCCAGTCACTGAATTCAAAACAAGCCACGGGCTGCACTGTGCTTCACGAAGAACCTAGAGACAACCCTCAACAGAGGCCTTGAGTTGCCCAGACTCTTGCACATTTTGCACATAGGATGCCCTCGATCCCATGATGATTGAAAGTCTGGCGCGGCAACTTGGAGACAAGAGTGGTGGAAAATACTGTGTTCATTCGTTGCCATGTCCAAAATGTAGGCATGCCTGCTGGGATCCTTGAGTTGTTTGGAATATTTGACACCGTTGTACACAGACCAGAGGTTGAACTCGTCCAAGATGGCATGCACTTTGGTATCTTGACATCTTTGAGGGCAGAACCCGCAACAAGCCACCTCTTCATCCTTGATGAATCCTTTGCTTGCATCGGCCGCGTTCTTGGCGATTCTGACATTTTTGACATGCATCGGCCCTATCACATGCTGAATAACGTTTTTCGCTCGTTTCGTGGACTGCATGTCAAAGATGGAATGGGCGCCAGCTTTGTTCACACAAACCAAGCATCGCACAGGAAGCCTGCATTTGTGACTGCCAGGCTCTAGGAGTTCCAGGTACGGGTCTCGATTCACCATGTCTAACGCAGGTTGCGCCGGGCCACCTTCCAAAGCTTCCATATCCTCATCTGGTGCACCACCATCCCCATCCACAGGATCCTCCTGCACATTCTGGAGAGGCAGAGCTTGAGCGTTCATTCCTTGATCAACCATTGGAAGCTGACCCGATTCCACTGCCTTCTTGAAATCATCCATGCTAAATCCACGTACCTGCAAGAAGTTTTGGCAAATTGCACACTTGCTTGGGATCTCGTGGTTGTCTGGGGACATCAAAAAGAATAGCAGCTCCTTCCAACCCCCGATAGAACATTCCACAGCACCTCGCACAACTGCAGCCTTGCTGTGCAAGCGTAGCCATTGGTGAGCGTCGATCTCAAGTCCGGCCAAGTGCGCTCTGGCGATCTTCAACTTGAGAGACACACCTCTGCGCTCCTGCTGGGCTTTCACCAGCGCAGGGTCCTTCTTATTCTTCTTGGACTTCTTGGGGTTGGCCTCATTCTTGTCATTCTTCTTCCTCTTCGCGCCCTGTGCATGTTTGGCATGCTGGTGTGTGGTGAAAAGCAGGGGTCCAACTTAGCTAGAGACATATTCAAGTGTCTAAAGTTGAAGATGTTGAAGGGCATCAGCCCAAGATGCCCAAGGATGTTACGACCTTGGGCCAAGGTATTGAACCAGGAGATCCAGGAGGATTAAGAGACAGACCCAAAAAAAATGATGGATCTGCTTGGCCTTGTTCAGGCACTGTTCTCAGGCCCAAATGTAGTCAAATGTTTCACCCCTGCCTTCTCTCCAAGGGGTCCCCCCTTTGTGGAAGCAAAAAAGGTTTAAAAACAACAATTTTAAATAAGGGTTTTAATAAGGAAAAAACGCCTAACATCTTGGTGGAATTTTAATGTTTGTGGTTGGTCTGGTTGGCCGTAGTCACCTCCCTCAGGATCCCCGCAAATCCAAGATCTTGGGACGAGGTATTTACCCTAGATCCTAGAGGATTGTTCTCAGGCCCAAGTTTTTCAGCTCCTGCCTTCTCTTCAACTGCTGGACCCTTGCCATCTGCCTGGGCACGGGGCAACCGGAAAAAAAAAAAGTTCTCAACAAGATCAACAAGATTATCAAGATTGACACAATTTCCCTTGAAAGAGGTCCTCGGGGTGAATGGGGTCCTGGGTCCGCGCGCGCGCGCGCCAAAAAGGTCTCAAAATTGAAGCCATTTTGGCGCGCGCGCGCGGACCCAGGAACCCTTTCACTCCGAGGACCCCTTTCAAAGGAAATTGTGTTGATTGCATCATCCCACATCTCCTAAAAATCACTGGTTAATTTCCCGTTGGGTCTGAAAGATGTATCTTGGGGCTTCCGATGCTTCTGTTTTGGGGACAGCTTTTTTGGGCGAAAGCTTCCCCGAAACTATCGAGAATTTTGGAAAAATCAAGGGATCATACTTGACTTCTTGATCCCATCCTATGTTCACTCCCTTGACCCGCTGCCTTGTGTTCTGCGACCAAAGCATTGCTACCTGCCTGCGCACGAGGCGCGCAAAAAGGAGGGATGTGGATTAATCTGCAACGGGATCAAGAGGGATGGATGGTTATAGATATATTAGATATTATAGTTGCTTATGAATCTTAGGATGTTTCACCAAAATCTTGGGATCAGGTATTTACCCTGCAGAACGAAACCTTGCAGCAAGCCCTAGGACCCGCAAACATGAGGACATCCGTGGACTTCAAAGGGGTCCCCCCTTTGTGGAAGCAAAAAAGGCTTAAAAACAACAATTTTAAATAAGGGTTTTAATAAGGAAAAAACGCCTAACATCTTGGTGGAATTTTAATGTTTGTGGTTGGCCTGGTTGGTCCTAGTCACCTCCAGGATCCCCACAAATCCAAGACCTTGGGACGAGGTATTTACCCGAGATCCTAGAGGATTGTTCTCAGGCCCAAGTTTTTCAGCTCCTGCCTTCTCTTCAACTGCTGGACCCTTGCCATCTGCCTGGGCACGGGGCAACCGAAAAAAAAAGGTTGTCAACAAGATCAACAAGATTATCAAGATATTCAAGATTGCATCATCCCACATCTCCTAAAAATCACTGGTTAATTTCCCGTTGGGCCTGCAAGATGTATCTTGGGGCTTCCGATGCTTCTGTTTTGGGGACACCTTTTTTGGGCGAAAGCTTCCCCGAAACTATCGAGAATTTTGGAAAAATCAAGGGATCATACTTGACTTCTTGATCCCATCCTACGACCTTGGCCTTCTGATCTGCGGCCAGATTGATCCCATCCTACGACCTTGGCCTTCTGCTCTGCGGCCAGATGTTCACTCCCTTGACCCGCTGCCTTGTGTTCTGCGACCAAAGCATTGCTACCTGCCTGCGCACGAGGCACGCAAAAAGGAGGGATGTGGATTAATCTGCAACGGGATCAAGAGGGATGGATGGTTATAGATATATTAGATATTATAGTTGCTTATGAATCTTATGATGTTTCACCAAAATCTTGGGATCAGGTATTTACCCTGAAGAACGAAACCTTGCAGCAAAGCATAGGACCCGCAAACATGAGGACATCCGTGGACTTCAAGGGGTCCCCCCTTTGTGGATGCAAAAAAGGTTTAAAAACAACAATTTTAAATAAGGGTTTTAATAAGGAAAAAACGTCTAACATCTTGGTGGAATTTTAATGTTTGTGGTTGGTCTGGTTGGCCCTGTTACCTCCAGGATCCCCGCAAATCCAAGATCTTGGGACGAGGTATTTACCCGAGATCCTAGAGGATTGTTCTCAGGCCCAAGTTTTTCAGCTCCTGCCTTCTCTTCAACTGCTGGACCCTTGCCATCTGCCTGGGCACGGGGCAACCGAAAAAAAAAAAGGTTGTCAACAAGATCAACAAGATTATCAAGATTGCATCATCCCACATCTCCTAAAAATCACTGGTTAATTTCCCGTTGGGCCTGAAAGATGTATCTTGGGGCTTCCGATGCTTCTGTTTTGGGGACACCTTTTTTGGGCGAAAGCTTCCCCGAAACTATCGAGAATTTTGGAAAAATCAAGGGATCATACTTGACTTCTTGATCCCATCCTACGACCTTGGCCTTCTGATCTGCGGCCAGATTGATCCCATCCTACGACCTTGGCCTTCTGCTCTGCGGCCAGATGTTCACTCCCTTGACCCGCTGCCTTGTGTTCTGCGACCAAAGCATTGCTACCTGCCTGCGCACGAGGCACGCAAAAAGGAGGGATGTGGATTAATCTGCAACGGGATCAAGAGGGATGGATGGTTATAGATATATTAGATATTATAGTTGCTTATGAATCTTATGATGTTTCACCAAAATCTTGGGATCAGGTATTTACCCTGAAGAACGAAACCTTGCAGCAAAGCATAGGACCCGCAAACATGAGGACATCCGTGGACTTCAAAGGGGTCCCCCCTTTGTGGAAGCAAAAAAGGTTTAAAAACAACAATTTTAAATAAGGGTTTTAATAAGGAAAAAACGTCTAACATCTTGGTGGAATTTTAATGTTTGTGGTTGGTCTGGTTGGCCCTGTTACCTCCAGGATCCCCGCAAATCCAAGATCTTGGGACGAGGTATTTACCCTAGATCCTTGAGGATTGTTCTCAGGCCCAAGTTTTTCAGCTCCTGCCTTCTCTTCAACTGCTGGACCCTTGCCATCTGCCTGGGCACGGGGCAACCGGAAAAAAAAAGGTTGTCAACAAGATCAACAAGATTATCAAGATTGCATCATCCCACATCTCCTAAAAATCACTGGTTAATTTCCCGTTGGGTCTGAAAGATGTATCTTGGGGCTTCCGATGCTTCTGTTTTGGGGACAGCTTTTTTGGGCGAAAGCTTCCCCGAAACTATCGAGAATTTTGGAAAAATCAAGGGATCATACTTGACTTCTTGATCCCATCCTACGACCTTGGCCTTCTGATCTGCGGCCAGATGTTCACTCCCTTGACCCGCTGCCTTGTGTTCTGCGACCAAAGCATTGCTACCTGCCTGCGCACGAGGCACGCAAAAAGGAGGGATGTGGATTAATCTGCAACGGGATCAAGAGGGATGGATGGTTATAGATATATTAGATATTATAGTTGCTTATGAATCTTATGATGTTTCACCAAAATCTTGGGATCAGGTATTTACCCTGAAGAACGAAACCTTGCAGCAAAGCATAGGACCCGCAAACATGAGGACATCCGTGGACTTCAAGGGGTCCCCCCTTTGTGGATGCAAAAAAAGTTTAAAAACAACACTTTTAAATAAGGGTTTTAATAAGGAAAAAACGCCTAACATCTTGGTGGAATTTTAATGTTTGTGGTTGGTCTGGTTGGCCCTGTCACCTCCAGGATCCCCACAAATCCAAGACCTTGGGACGAGGTATTTACCCTAGATCCTAGAGGATTGTTCTCAGGCTCAAGTTTTTCAGCTCCTGCCTTCTCTTCAACTGCTGGACCCTTGCCATCTGCCTGGGCACGGGGCAACCGAAAAAAAAAGGTTGTCAACAAGATCAACAAGATTATCAAGATATTCAAGATTGCATCACCTCACATCTCCTAAAAATCACTGGTAAATTTCCCGTTGAGTCTGAAAGATGTATCTTGGGGCTTCCGATGCTTCTGTTTTGGGGACACCTTTTTTGGGCGAAAGCTTCCCCGAAACTATCGAGAATTTTGGAAAAATCAAGGGATCATACTTGACTTCTTGATCCCATCCTACGACCTTGGCCTTCTGCTCTGCGGCCAGATGTTCACTCCCTTGACCCGCTGCCTTGTGTTCTGCGACCAAAGCATTGCTACCTGCCTGCGCACGAGGCACGCAAAAAGGAGGGATGTGGATTCATCTGCAACGGGATCAAGAGGGATGGATGGTTATAGATATATTAGATATTATAGTTGCTTATGAATCTTATGATGTTTCACCAAAATCTTGGGATCAGGTATTTACCCTGAAGAACGAAACCTTGCAGCAAGCCATAGGACCCGCAAATTGAGGACATCCGTGGACTTCAAGGGGTCCCCCCTTTGTGGATGCAAAAAAAGTTTAAAAACAACACTTTTAAATAAGGGTTTTAATAAGGAAAAAACGCCTAACATCTTGGTGGAATTTAATTGTTTGTGGTTGGTCTGGTTGGCCTGGTTGGTCCTAGTCACCTCCCCCAGGATCCCCACAAATCCAAGACCTTGGAACGAGGTATTTACCCTAGAGATCCTAGAGGATTGTTCTCAGGCTCAAGTTTTTCACCCCCTGCCTTGTCTCGCAGGGCCTGTGAAGCTTGATGTTTTTCATCTGGCAGCGCCGTCACCTTGCGGGTGGTGAAGCCGAATAACCAAGACAAGCTGTGTCACCAAGTATACCAAATCAAACGGTGGAAATTCCATGCTCACATTTCAACGCAAACTGTGGACCCCGGTATGCACCCTCAAGACAACAGGAAATGACCGTGCACAATCATATGTTGGGCATCGGAATCCCCCTGACAGCCCAGAATCATGGCCTTGCTCGCCATGATGTCAGACAGGTTGCTGCGCAGCGGCACAGCAGGCCCAGACACCAAGCGGTCATGAACTATGCCCGCTCTAGAGGAATTGCGTGCCCTCTTGATCACTGGGGGCGAATGCTCTTCGAGCATCTTTTCAAGCCTCTTGCGTGCCTGTGGGGTGGTTGGGCTTGCAGGTTCCTGCTTCACCTCCACATCCCCCACGTCAGATGGGCGTGGGGATCGTGGGGGATGAACCTGCGCGAATAGTTTGAAGACGTTGTCTGTGTTGTCTTCAGTATCTGGCAGCTCCTTCTTCACTGTGATCAAATCTGGACCACATGGCTTTTCCTCTGGAATCTCTGGAGATTCTGGAGGGCCTGGGGGACCAAATAAATGTTCACGTTCTTCAAAATCGTCTGGGTCTTGAGATGGTGGTGGCATGGGTGGTAACGTTTCCGAACCTGATGAACCTAACTTGTCCAATTTGTCCATATTCACCGCATCCATGGCAGAAGACAAATTCTGAACAAGGTCTGATGGGTTTGGCTCCATGACATCCGTAACCTTGGCAATGGGCATGCCACCTGCATCAACCAGCAGAAGCTTGAAAACTTGCAACCATTGGTCTGAGTGGGGTGAAGTAGGATCAGAAGTGACCTCTCTCCACATCCTTCCCACTTCCTCCCGCAAGCTCAGCATCTTCGCCCATGCAATGGGATTCGACTCCTTGGTCAAGATGGTGCTTCCCATGGGATCCATGTCCAAAAGGTGTTGGGCAGGAACTCCGTCTGTGAACTTGTGGAGTTCGAGGGCTGACCACGCACCGCAATTGCCATCGGCCATCACCGGCATGGGCGCAAGATTGGCAGTGTGGTGCAAGCGAGCTGTCAAGCGCTTCAGGTGAACCGCTTTCTCTGTCACTTGTGTAAGAGCGTGAACCAGACTCTGATGGACCTCGGCAGAATCATCTCTTGAATCATCTTCCAAAGCCTTATGCAGAGATTCCTTTTCGATTTTCTCAGCAGCTAGTATCTTTTGGAATCTCTCTGTCAAGCTGGTGTCCGCAGGTAGCAAAGGCACCCAATGATTCAGCTCCCATGGAACATTGGTGGTTCGATAATCGGCTCGCGTGAGGAGCACGTTCCACACCACATCGCTTCCCATTACAGGTGGATGCACCTCACTTCCACGGCCAAGCAGGTCATGCAAAAAAACCATGGCTTCTTTGCCTTTTTCCATGGGGCTCTCGGTGTTCATGAACAATTGGACAGAAATCTTTTGGTGATGGCAATACAGCAAGAAGTCCACCAACTCCAGATAGTGCCCAGCTTTGGTAACCTTCTCAGCATGACAGAGAACTCGGCCAACCAAGGTCTGCTGCTCCATGGTGACAGATGCATCAGCTCCTGCGGAAGTTCATTTAAGCATTTGTTCGGGGTAAAAACCTGGGACCTAGCTTTCCACCAAATGGAACTCTGCGAAAATCTGTGAATCTGATGAATCTGAAGGAAATGTGAAGAGATGCCGGCCCCAAAAAAAACACAATAGGCACACCGAAAGGTCTCAGCTCCAGGTTTTCAGCTCAATGATCTCAATGGAAGGATGCTGTGGAAGGCTTCAGCTGGCAAAACAATTAGGTCACAAAACACTTAAAGATCTTAAAGGTATTCAAGGTTCAGCAATCCCTTGACAGACCTCGAAACACTGCCCCGAGAGATGCCCACACCTTCAGCAGCATCAGCAGCTGCTGGTGTTCCCGAAAGAAAAGCATCTGGCGCAAGAGTCTGTGCTCCTTCGGCTTGGGCCTGCAGCAAGGAGCATGCAGGTTATGAAACATAAGCACCATACACCTTTGGCCCAAGTATTTGCCCCAGACACATAGATATATTAGATATTATAGTTGCTTATGAATCTTATGATGTTTCACCAAAATCTTGGGATCAGGTATTTACCCTGAAGAACGAAACCTTGCAGCAAAGCATATAGGACCCGCAAACATGAGGACATCCGTGGACTTCAAGGGGTCCCCCCTTTGTGGAAGCAAAAAAAGTTTGAAACCAACAATTTTAAATAAGGGTTTTAATAAGGAAAAAACGCCTAACATCTTGGTGGAATTTTAATGTTTGTGGTTGGCCTGGTTGGTCCTAGTCACCTCCAGGATCCCCACAAATCCAAGACCTTGGGACGAGGTATTTACCCGAGATCCTACAGGATTGCTCTCAGGCCCAAGTTTTTCAGCTCCTGCCTTCTCTTCAACTGCTGGACCCTTGCCATCTGCCTGGGCACGGGGCAACCGAAAAAAAAAGGTTGTCAACAAGATCAACAAGATTATCAAGATATTCAAGATTGCATCACCTCACATCTCCTAAAAATCACTGGTAAATTTCCCGTTGAGTCTGAAAGATGTTAGTCCTCACGAATGTTAGGCCAAAGTTCATCACCCCCTGCCTGCTCTTCAGCTGCTGGATCCTTTCCATCTGCCTGGGCACGGTCACATCGAGAATTTGGGAAAAATCTAGGGATCATACTTGACTTCTTAATCCCATGGCCTTCTGATCTGCAGCCAGATGTTCACTCCCTTGACCCGCTGCCTTGTGTTCTGCGACCAAAGCATTGCTACCTGCCTGCGCACGAGGCGCGCAAAAAGGAGGGATGTGGATTAATCTGCAACGGGATCAAGAGGGATGGATGGTTATAGATATATTAGATATTATAGTTGCTTATGAATCTTATGATGTTTCACCAAAATCTTGGGATCAGGTATTTACCCTGAAGAACGAAACCTTGCAGCAAAGCATAGGACCCGCAAACATGAGGACATCCGTGGACTTCAAGGGGTCCCCCCTTTGTGGAAGCAAAAAAAGTTTAAAAACAACAATTTTAAATAAGGGTTTTAATAAGGAAAAAACGCCTAACATCTTGGTGGAATTTTAATGTTTGTGGTTGGTCTGGTTGACCCTGTCACCTCCCCAGGATCCCCACAAATCCAAGACCTTGGGACGAGGTATTTACCCTAATTACCCTAGAGGGCTATTCTCAGGCCCAAGTTTTTCACCCCCTGCCTGCTCTTCAACTGCTGGACCCTTGCCATCTGGCTGGGCACAGGGCAACCGGAAAAAAAAAAGGTTGTCAACAAGATCAACAAGATTGCATCATCTCACATCTCCTATAAATCAATGGTAAATTTCCCGTTGGGTCTGAAAGATGTTAGTCAGTTAGTCCTCACGAATGTTAGGCCAAAGTTCATCACCCCCTGCCTGCTCTTCAGCTGCTGAATCCTTTCCATCTGCCTGGGCACGGTCACATCGAGAATTTTGGAAAAATCAAGGGATCATACTTGACTTCTTGATCCCATCCTACGACCTTGGCCTTCTGATCTGCTGCCAGATGTTCACTCCCTTGACCCGCTGCCTTGTTTTCTGCGACCAAGGCATTGCTACCTGCCTGCGCACGAGGCACGCAAAAAGGACGGATGTGGATTCATCTGCAACGGGATCAAGAGGGATGGATGGTTATAGATATATTAGATATTATAGTTGCTTATGAATCTTATGATGTTTCACCAAAATCTTGGGATCAGGTATTTACCCTGAAGAACGAAACCTTGCAGCAAAGCATAGGACCCGCAAACATGAGGACATCCGTGGACTTCAAGGGGTCCCCCCTTTGTGGAAGCAAAAAAAGTTTAAAAACAACAATTTTAAATAAGGGTTTTAATAAGGAAAAAACGCCTAACATCTTGGTGGAATTTTAATGTTTGTGGTTGGTCTGGTTGACCCTGTCACCTCCCCAGGATCCCCACAAATCCAAGACCTTGGGACGAGGTATTTATCCTAGACCCTAGAGGATTGTTCTCAGGCCCAAGTTTTTCAGCTCCTGCCTTCTCTTCAACTGCTGGACCCTTGTCATCTGCCTGGGAACGGGGCAACCGAAAAAAAAAGGTTGTCAACAAGATCAACAAGATTTTCATCATCTCACATCTCCTATAAATCAATGGTAAATTTCCCGTTGGGTCTGAAAGATGTTAGTCAGTTAGTCCTCACGAATGTTAGGCCAAAGTTCATCACCCCCTGCCTGCTCTTCAGCTGCTGAATCCTTTCCATCTGCCTGGGCACGGTCACATCGAGAATTTTGGAAAAATCAAGGGATCATACTTGACTTCTTGATCCCATCCTACGACCTTGGCCTTCTGATCTGCGGCCAGATGTTCACTCCCTTGACCCGCTGCCTTGTGTTCTGCGACCAAGGCATTGCTACCTGCCTGCGCACGAGGCACGCAAAAAGGAGGGATGTGGATTAATCTGCACCGGGATCAAGAGGGATGGATGGTTATAGACATATTAGATATTATAGTTGCTTATGAATCTTATGATGTTTCACCAAAATCTTGGGATCAGGTATTTACCCTGAAGAACGAAACCTTGCAGCAAAGCATAGGACCCGCAAACATGAGGACATCCGTGGACTTCAAGGGGTCCCCCCTTTGTGGAAGCAAAAAAAGTTTAAAAACAACAATTTTAAATAAGGGTTTTAATAAGGAAAAAACGCCTAACATCTTGGTGGAATCTTAATGTTTGTGGTTGGTCTGGTTGACCCTGTCACCTCCAGGATCCCCACAAATCCAAGACCTTGGGACGAGGTATTTATCCTAGACCCTAGAGGATTGTTCTCAGGCCCAAGTTTTTCAGCTCCTGCCTTCTCTTCAACTGCTGGACCCTTGTGATCTGCCTGGGCACGGGGCAACCGAAAAAAAGGTTGTCAACAAGATCAACAAGATTATCAAGATATTCAAGATTGCATCATCTCACATCTCCTAAAAATCACTGGTAAATTTCCCGTTGAGTCTGAAAGATGTATCTTGGGGCTTCCGATGCTTCTGTTTTGGGGACACCTTTTTTGGGCGAAAGCTTCCCCGAAACTATCGAGAATTTTGGAAAAATCAAGGGATCATACTTGACTTCTTGATCCCATCCTACGACTTGGCCTTGATCCCATCCTACGACCTTGGCCTTCTGCTCTGCGGCCAGATGTTCACTCCCTTGACCCGCTGCCTTGTGTTCTGCGACCAAAGCATTGCTACCTGCCTGCGCACGAGGCACGCAAAAAGGAGGGATGTGGATTAATCTGCAACGGGATCAAGAGGGATGGATGGTTATAGATATATTAGATATTATAGTTGCTTATGAATCTTATGATGTTTCACCAAAATCTTGGGATCAGGTATTTACCCTGAAGAACGAAACCTTGCAGCAAGCCATAGGACCCGCAAATTGAGGACATCCGTGGACTTCAAGGGGTCCCCCCTTTGTGGATGCAAAAAAAGTTTAAAAACAACACTTTTAAATAAAGGTTTTAATAAGGAAAAAACGCCTAACATCTTGGTGGAATTTTAGTGGTTGTGGTTGATCTGGTTGACCCTGCTACCAGACCTTGGGACGAGGTATTGACCCTATAGATGCTTGGGCCTGCAGCAAGGAGCATGCAGGTTATGAAACATAAGCACCATACACCTTTGGCCCAAGTATTTACCCCAGACACATATGACACATTGAACTGGCTACATCAGTGGACTTCAAGGGGTCCCCCCTTTGTGGAAGCAAAAAAAGTTTAAAAACAACAATTTTAAATAAGGGTTTTAATAAGGAAAAAACGCCTAACATCTTGGTGGAATTTGAATCTTTGTGGTTGGTCTGGTTGACCCTGTCACCTCCCCAGGATCCCCACAAATCCAAGACCTTGGGACGAGGTATTTACCCTAATTACCCTAGAGGGCTGTTCTCAGGCTTAAGTTTTATAAACCCGTGCCTTCTCTGCGATCGCGTCGGCTGCTTGGTGCTTTGCATTTGCCTGGGCAGAGGGCAACCGGCAACCGAAAAAACATCACAAATGGGCGCCGACAAGATTGCATCATCTCCCAAAAAATCAAGCTGACCGCACAAATCCTGACAAACAACCCTGATCCCAAGAGTTTTCACCGCGAGAGACTCACTTGGTAAGATCCAAGTGTCAAGTGAGTGTCACAAGAACATCAGAGTAACACATATCAGTGCCGCGCGAAGCACCTGATCACTGGCCTGCCTGCTTGCTTCCAAGGCATGCCACTCATTCACTAGAACATCTAGAACAACTATCATAGCTATCATAGCTATCGGCTGTCCAGGAAACAGAAAATACAGAAACACTCTCACGGGTGCCAAAAGCTGTTGAATGGCCCCAAGCAAACTACTGAATTTGTGGTGAGGCATGGATTGCAAGAAAACCCGCAAACTTGGCTGCTGCTTTGGAACGGGCCCCAAATCGGACCTCAAGGATGCCAGTCTTTGGAGGACATCTTGTCAAACTCTACGTACCACAATGCGAAAATGCGGGCGCAGAATTGCACAGGATATTTTGCCGTGGAAGCTAAATCTCTTCCACCGGTTACGCGACCATCTGCATCCTTCCTCCAGGGCAGGACAAGAGGATTTGCACACATACCAACTCCAAAAAAGAAACAAAGACCCAGGTTTTTACCCCGTGATTGGTTCATGTTGGACTTCACCTTGCCTGTAATAGCATGGCTGTTTCTTACCAGCCACCTTAGCCGCCTCAATCTCCTTCTTCTTTCGCTGCGCAATGGCCTTCTTTTGCGCAGCCGTCATCTTTCTCTTCAGCCTTCGCATCATGAATCCGTGCTTGGATCACTGTGTGTGAATCGAAAAACTGGCAGACCTGAGCCCATAGATGAGTCCTAGATGTTCATCCACTCATACTGTCCTGAGCCCCTAGGATTTCAACCATAGTCATGACCAATTGCTGATCCATGCAAGTTGCAAACCATGTCAAGCAATCGAGCTGAGCCACTTCGCTCCACCTTGGAGGTTCGTGGCCAACTTTGTGCCCTTCCAAAGGATATGGCCGAAGCATCCAAGCCAAGTGGTGACAAGGCTGAACTTCCACAATTTCAATGCGGGCTTCAGCGAAGGATGGGAAAACATCTGGCTGGAAGTAGGTTGTTCTACAACCCAGTACAAGGGCCGCACGCGGTAGATCTTTTTCAGGAGCCAAGCCTGAGACAAATGAAACAGGACTTGGTCAAAGGTGATGAAAATATATGAAAATCTTGGACCCGATGATTTCACCCTATATCTAGTGAAATTTTGACATTCTCGCCATTCAAAAAAAGACCGAGGCGCGAAATTGTGCACTATGGCGTTAGACATGCGAACGCTAAGCAAGCTAACATCGCCCAAAATGCTGTGGCCATGCGTGGAACGTTGATGGGTCCCACGAGAGATCCACACGTAAAGGCTGCAGGGAGGGCCGCACACTACTACGCCGTGGTCCCTCCTTAGATTTGAACTTGTGCTATACATTAGTTGTGAGATGTAAAGCATAGATATAAGAAACGGTCAACCTATCCAGGTTCACACCCTATAATCTTTGCCAAACACGATGCATACATATACATATCAACAAAAAACAAACTGAGTTGGCCAAAAGTCATCATCAACAGATGATCCAGATAAAGGTACCAGCCACGACGTGACAAAATGTCCTGTTCAGGACTCAATAGGAAATCCAGAGCTTTCGCTGGGAACCCACGATCCATGAAACATGTAGCCACTCTTTGGGAGGCACCGAACATATCCAAGGCGTACAAAGTTTGCACACCTGAAGCAGGGGTTAAAAGCTCTGGCTCGGGACTCCATGGCATTTTCAACCCCTTGTCATGACTCCATGAGATGCACATTGAGGCTCTTGATCCAAAGCAACTTCACTCGCCAATCCATATGCTAAACCCTAGGGTTTCAACCCCATACAGTATATCCCTAAGCAATCAAAGTCAAAGCGCATTGTGGTGTCTAGTTCTCAAGTTCCTAGCCTCCCCAAGTCTCAATAAAGTTGTTGATGCTGGGAACATCCAAAGCTGGATTGTACCATTGGTCTTCTGGCAGACTTGCGAACGTGTCCAGTGACTTGTGCCCACTGGACTTCGCGGAGTCCACAAGGGCCAAGTGGCTGAAAATCGAGAGAAACGCTGCAACGCAAAGCATAGCGCGCGACATGAGGCGCATTGGAATGGACACTGCAGCCAAGCTCTTCACAATCTTGCCGCACCTATTCAGTACTTGTCCTTGCTGAGCTTGCTGGAGTTGGGCCAAGAAAAGTATCGGGACTTTGATGCTGCAGCGCGCACAAGAATGTCCTACTCTTGCTATGTCTAAAGACGTCTTATAGGACTGTCAGCACCGTGATAATTTTTGATATTGATATTATTGATGTATGAACCTTAAGCCCAGGCATTTACCCCAGAGAGATGCTCAACAGACCAGGCCACACAAATCACACAACACCTGCATGTCTGTGACCTCACCGGTCTCAGGCCCCTAGTTTTTCACCCCCCAACCGGCCTTGTCGTCTGCCAATGCCGCACCACGTTTGCCATCTGCCTGTGCACTGTCAGGACATTCAGGACAAAGAATCAAAGCAAGGAAACCCCAGCTGAAATTATGCTGTTGGTTTGCCACTGCTAAAAGATTAAGAAGCACCAAAAAAGGCTTTCTTCCAGGGTTTGGGGTGGAAAGCCAGCCTCCCCCCGCATCCCCTTAGAATCCCCTAAGTCTTAAATACTTTGGAAAATCATGAAGCCTAACAAATCTAACAATATGAAACCCTGGGCCAAAGCCTTGAAACCCTTTCATCATCACCAAGATCGTGCGCCATCAAAACACCCATATGGCTTGCCAAGCTCTGAGCCCACGTTTAGACCGTGGCCTCGCCGACTGGACCAACATGCAAAAGCTGCTTTCCCTCAGCACCCTTTGCCTGAGCACACAACCAAATCAAGACCAAAACCCTGGGCCCAGGTATCTACCCTGCAGAACAAAACGGTACCAAAAACTCAGTGACCCGCAAAACATGCGCAAAACCATACAAAATATGCAAAATCCACCTGAACGATCTGAAGAGGGCATCTTCAGGGCAATCAGGGGAGCGGATGATTTACAGTAACAGAAACCTTAGGGCCCAGGTATTTAACCTAGAGGGGGGGGGAAGAAATCAACCCGCCAAAAAAAAAAACATGGATTTGCTTGATATTCTCAACTCCCATACACACTGCAATCATCACCATGGCCATTGATTTCCTTCCGGCTTGTATCCCTGGATTATGTAGAGAGATTATAAAGTATATGAGGATCAGAGTCATACTTGTAGTATCTACCACTCTAGCTTTTCATCCTGACCGTTGAGTCATCTGAATCCCAAGTTGTCACCCCTCGCCTTCGCTTCTGCAACTCGAGGCTTTGCATCTGCCTGGCTTCGGGGCAGCACAAAAAGGAGGCAACCATTCCAATCCAGATCAGCTAAAAGCTAAAAGTGACTAAAGACTGGCATTATCTTCCAGACTTGGTTGTTGATCAACTCAACCTCAGACCCTAGGTCTTTACCCTATGATCCCTCTATTTGCATCTCTGATACCGCACACCGGCTTTATCTTGACAAACCCACGCGTTCCCCTTTTCGCCCTTCACTATCTTCACTCAAGGTTTCGACATGATCAAATTGAAACCCCTCTCTCCACCAACGCCACGCACAGGCATTCGGACGCACCTGAGTCTTTTGAGGCTTCTGCGGACCCTTCTTATCCTTCTTGTCCTTCTTATCCTCCACCTGAACGATCTGAAGAGGGCATCTTCAGGGCAATCAGGGGAGCGGATGATTTAACAGAAACCTTGGGGCCCAGGTATTTAACCTAGAGGGGGGGGGGAAGAAATCAACCCGCCAAAAAAAAACATGGATTTGCTTGATATTCTCAACTCCCATACACACTGCAATCATCACCATGGCCATTGATTTCCTTCCGGCTTGTATCCCTGGATTATGTAGAGAGATTATAAAGTATATGAGGATCAGAGTCATACTTGTAGTATCTACCACTCTAGCTTTTCATCCTGACCGTTGAGTCATCTGAATCCCAAGTTGTCACCCCTCGCCTTCGCTTCTGCAACTCGAGGCTTTGCATCTGCCTGGCTTCGGGGCAGCACAAAAAGGAGGCAACCATTCCAATCCAGATCAGCTAAAAGCTAAAAGTGACTAAAGACTGGCATTATCTTCCAGACTTGGTTGTTGATCAACTCAACCTCAGACCCTAGGTCTTTACCCTATGATCCCTCTATTTGCATCTCTGATACCGCACACCGGCTTTATCTTGACAAACCCACGCGTTCCCCTTTTCATCTGGCCATCGAAAGGGCTGATGCCAAACGTCTATTGTCAAAAACGTACGTCTGTGAAATCACTGTCAAATCTCACTCACCCCAAATCCACATGTCCGCAGTTTCCGGGACTATGATCGCGCCAGCGTCTTGAAAATCTTGAAAGTCGTGTGAGCCTGCTGATGCGGTGATGAGCTCACGACCACCAGAAACTCTGGAACTGAGCTCCGTCTGCAATTCTTGGACCATGCCTCGGATGGATGCTGCAGCGCGCACAAGCTCAGATAGGCATGCATCTGGGATGGACTCATGCGCCTGAACCAAGGTGGAAACTATCCCTGCCAACAGCCGGTCAGCAGCTTGTGCACTTGGACACGGGGCTCTGCAGCACCATTCAGACACTTGCCGTGGCCAAGATGAGAGCTCGGCTCCAATCTGGGTCATCTCTTCATTGACCAAATTCTCATCCACACTATCAAGTGCCAGGAAAGACATGTCCATGAGCTCAATGGCACCCAGGATCTGACCCATCAAAAGGCTAGACGTGGTCACGTATCGCGTCAGGACTAGAAAAGAGCGAGAAGGTTCATCCACCCCAATCAGTTCCATGAGAATGGCCAAGGACCCGAATCCGGCGCTCAACAATACCAAAGGCTCCCTTCTGACAGTCTCTCGCCGCGCATGCTGAGTTTGCACCATGGACCGGGCTGCATTGGCCAGTTGTCGTGCCAAGGCCGACATCTGACAAAGATGCGAACGTATTGAAAGATATTGATGAAAATGCCTTGCTCAAGTTGGGCCAGGAAAAGCATCGGAAGCTTTTTTCGGGAATGTCCTGCTCTTGCTCTGTCTAAAAACGTCTCAGCACTGTGAAGGTTTTTTGATATTGATGTATGAACCTCAAGCCCAAGGCATTTACCCCAGAGGTCCCTAGAGATGCTCAACGGACCAGGCCACACAACATCACAACACCTGCATGTCTGTGACCTCACCGGTCTCAGGCCCCTAGCTTTTCACCCCCCAACCGGCCTTGTCTTCTGCCAGAGCAACGCCACGTTTGCCATCTGCCTGCGCACTGCCAGGACATTCAGGACAAAGAATCAAAGCAAGGAAACCCCAGCTGAAATTATGCTGTTGGTTTGCCACTGCTGAAAAATTAAGAAACACCAAAAAAAGCTATCTTCCAGGGTTTGGGGTGGAAAGCCAGCCTCCCCCCGCATCCCCTTAGAATCCCCTAAGTCTTAAATACTTTGGAAAATCATGAAGCCTAACAAATCTAACAATATGAAACCCTGGGCCAAAGCCTTGAAACCCTTTCATCATCACCGAGATAGTGCGCCATCAAAACACCCATATGGTTTGCCAAGCTCTGAACCCACGTTTAGACCGTGGCCTCGCCGACTGGACCAACATGCAAAGGCTGCTTTCCCTCAGCACCCTTTGCCTGAGCACACAACCAAATCAAGACCAAAACCCTGGGCCCAGGTATCTACCCTGCAGAACAAAACGGTACCAAAAACTCAGTGACCCGCAAAACCAGGTAAAATATGAAAATTCCCACAAATCATTGAAATTATTGATATTATTGATCGACCACGGAATTCTGTGAATCGACACCCAAAGTATCCAACCCTATCACATCTGCAAGGCAAGCAGGGAACAGGCTGATTTAACGTAAACCTTGGGGCCCAGGTCTTTAACCTGGTCTTATCTGTTCAGCCCTCCCAGTCTCAAGCACAAGTTTTTCGCCCCGCCTTGTCCACGAGATCCTGTGGATCCTGTGGGATGTGCGCGGTTGATCAACCCAGTCAACTCATAATCAACCCAGTCAACTCCTAGATCTCCTAGATCTTGGAGGGGGTGAGTCCAAATCAATTGAAGGAAACAAGTACTGCCAGTAATCCCTAATCTCCCTAGGTCAAACATGTCAAATACGCAAAGATTCTTCACATCATATCTCAGGCTCGACCCTGAAACGGTCTATTCCCTTCGGACATCTGTCAGTTGCCCTTCACTATCTTCACTCAAGGTTTCGACATGATCAAATTGAAACCCCTCTCTCCACCAATGCCACGCACAGGCATACGGACGCACCTGAGTCTTTTGAGGCTTCTGCGGACCCTTCTTATCCTTCTTATCCTCCACCTGAACGATCTGAAGAGGGCATCTTCAGGGCAATCAGGGGAGCGGATGATTTACAGTAACAGAAACCTTGGGGCCCAGGTATTTAACCTAGAGGGGGGGGGGAAGAAATCAACCCGCAAAAAAAAAAACAAGGATCTGCTTGATATTCTCAACCCCCATACACACTGCAATCATCACCGATGGCCATTGATTTCCTTCCGGCTTGTATCCCTGGATTATTCCCTTAAAATCCCCTAAGTACTTTGGAAAGTCACGAAGCCTAACAATATGAAACCCTGGGCCAAAGCCTTGAAACCCTTTCATCATCACCAAGATCGTGCGCCATCAAAACACCCATATGGTTTGTCAAGCTCTGAACCCACGTTTAGACCGTGGCCTCGCCGACTGGACCAACATGCAAAGGCTGCTTTCCCTCAGCACCCTTTGCCTGAGCACACAACCAAATCAAGACCAAAACCCTGGGTCCAGGTATCTACCCTGCAGAACAAAACGGTACCAAAAACTCAGTGACCCGCAAAACCAGGTAAAATATGAAAATTCCCACAAATCATTGAAATTATTGATATTATTGATCGACCACGGAATTCTGTGAATCGACACCCAAAGTATCCAACCCTATCACATCTGCAAGGCAAGCAGGGAACAGGCTGATTTAACGTAAACCTTGGGGCCCAGGTCTTTAACCTGGTCTTATCTGTTCAGCCCTCCCAGTCTCAAGCACAAGTTTTTCGCCCCGCCTTGTCCACGAGATCCTGTGGATCCTGTGGGATGTGCGCGGTTGATCAACCCAGTCAACTCATAATCAACCCAGTCAACTCCTAGATCTCCTAGATCTTGGAGGGGGTGAGTCCAAATCAATTGAAGGAAACAAGTACTGCCAGTAATCCCTAATCTCCCTAGGTCAAACATGTCAAATACGCAAAGATTCGTCACATCATATCTCAGGCTCGACCCTGAAACGGTCTATTCCCTTCGGACATCTGTCAGTTGCCCTTCACTATCTTCACTCAAGGTTTCGACATGATCAAATTGAAACCCCTCTCTCCACCAATGCCACGCACAAGCATACGGACGCACCTGAGTCTTTTGAGGCTTCTGCGGACCCTTCTTATCCTTCTTATCATTCTTATCCTCCACCTGAACGGTCTGAAGAGGGCATCTTCAGGGCAATCAGGGGAGCGGATGATTTAACAGAAACCTTGGGGCCCAGGTATTTAACCTAGAGGGGGGGGGAAGAAATCAACCCGCAAAAAAAAACAAGGATCTGCTTGATATTCTGGACTCCCATACACACTGCAATCATCACCGATGGCCATTGATTTCCTTCCGGCTTGTATCCCTGGATTATGAATATATATATATATACATCTATATATATATATAATAGTATATGAGGGTCAGAGTCATGCTTGCAGTGATCATCGTCCTCACCATGAGCATCATGGTTCTATTCAGTATAGTTTCTATCATTTTCACATGCGTATCTACCACTCTAGCTTTTCATCGTGACCGTTGAGCCATCTGAAGCCCAAATGTTCACCCCTCGCCTTCGCTTCTTCGGCCCTGCGCTTTGCATCTGCCTGGATTCGGGGCAGCACAAAAAAGAGGCAACCATTCCAATCCAGATCAGCGTGACTAAAAATCATTAAAAATCATCGAATATAACAGATGTTTTTGTTTTAAATAGGGGTTGGGCGTCCCTGGCTGAGAACCTGGGGCTAGTGCCACCCTTTTTACCACCGGAGTGGTTTCTGAAAATATGGGCAAAACCTCCGTGCAATGATGGTAGTGTGTTTTTTTATCAAAATCTCAGTCCCTAGGTTTTCAGACACCGGTCCTTGTTAACAGAGAAATCTTTGAAAAGAACATGAGACACTAATAGTGCACAGAACACCCAACACGAGTAAAACTCAAAGGTGACGCGTTATAGGTTACTACTGTTAGTAAGTGCAATTATCCAAGTTTCGCTCTGCGATCTTAGTGAATGAAACCTACTCCCAATCCAGTTATCCGTTCTTCACACACTATACTGCATTATCTTCCAGACTTGGTTGTGGATCAAATCAACCTCAGACCCAGGTCTTTACCCTCTAACCCCTCTTTGTGCATACAAAGGTATAATCAAATGTACAAACATGATGTGTAATGTGGGAGGTGTAACATTATGATATTTATGAAATCTTGGGACCACAGGTTTTCAGCCCGCACCTTCCCCCTTCTGGCTTTGCACAGCTCTTTCAGTTGCAGAAACTCTGTGATCCCCGAGTCTCGGCAGAGGTTCCGGAGCTCCAGAAGCTCTTGGTAATCTTTTCGGGACGCGATGCGCCCCATGCGCTTCCCATTCTCCTCGGCTGTTGAGACACTGTATCCTATGTCAAACATTACAGCAGATATCCGGTATGTTGAACCCCAAAGATCACCAAGAACATTCATACTGCCACACTAGTCCGCACTGATTCGCTACGTGAATCTGCTTGTTATTTTTGACCACCTCGCCCCCTGGATTAGAAGCGCCACTCGTTTACAGTGCCAAGTCTCATGAAGCGAGAGTACCCACGCTTCATGGACATGGTGCCTGGACTCAGGCCAGATCTCCAAGTGTCCATCCACCACCGCCATGGTCCACTCAGCTCGCCGGGGTGGCTCAAACCAAAGCTGCGAAAGTCGCGCGCATTTTGTGCATGTATGGATTCATTGTTCTGGTCAAGACACCAAATATTCATCTTCATTTTGTGACAAGATATGTCTAAAAAACCCGTTTGATTTGTTCCCATTACACAAACATTCTGTGTATATGTATGCACTGTGTATATATATATATATATGCATACATATCGGTATAGATACATTTATGAATACATATCTATAATATCTATTATGCAACATCTACAGTGGTCACATGCAGTATCATGCAGTCATCCACAGGGGCTAAAAACCTATGATGCAACATTCCCAGTGTTTTTCAAGTTTGTTGTGTCACAGGGCTGAAAACCTGGTGGCCCAACATGTTCAAAGATTTCTCTCTTAACGAGGCCCGGTGTCTGAAAACCTAGGGACTGAGATTTTGATAAAAAATCACATTACCATCATTGCACGGTCTGACTTCCTGAACCCAAGGTTTTGCCCAAACCACTCCGGTGGTAAAAAGGGTGGCACTAGCCCCAGGTTCTCATCCAGGGACGCCCAACCCCTATCTAATTATCTATCTGTCTATCTATCGGTCGATCCATCTATCTGTCTATCTATTTATCATCCCCTTCTAGGTTAAGTGGGAGTTTCATAGGTCCCCATTCTATAGATACAAAACAGCGACCCACAACCCTTAAAAGGGCACTCTAAAAAATGGAAACCCATGACATCAGAGAGGGGGGTGCACCTCTACAAAATGAAAAGTACTAAGTTTGAAGAGGCTATCACGTAATCTCAAAATCCTTCAAAGACTATAGAATGGGAGCCCATGAGATACCGCCGAGCCTATCTTTATTTTTCCCCACATCTTTGTGT